CCCCCCCGAAAGAAGCTTCATCTCTTTTGTAAATTAGTTTTCATCTTTGTCAGCCGAAATATTTGATTAATGCTATTTCTGGCTCAGCCAGACACACGAACAGGAAATATCAGAAAGCATTGACAGAACCATACTCTCAGCCCCCCTGTGCTACAGTCCACTCTTTCTCCTCTCTCTTGACTTAAGACTTAATTCTGCAAACACAGCCAGAACACTTCGCCATGGGAGCAGTACATTGGACACAGTGGCACTAAAGATTAGAATGAAAATACATGCATCTAGTCTGAGCACTTAATGAGGTAACATAGTAGAGGCGTCTTTTTCTTTAAATAGAAGAAAATGTTTGCAAAGTCACAACAATTTCCAGGTAGCACATATAAGGCTTATAGATCTAAAAAATAGTTTGAACTAATTTTTAATAGTTGATTATAATTGTTTGACTAAGCATTTTTAATGCTTGTCCTGAACTATGAAACGATATGTGTTCCCTAAGGCTAACTTGCCACAAAAAATTCCCAATTTTTGCAGGCTGGACTCTTCAAAAAAAAAAAAAAATCTATGGCAGTCTGGGAGATGGATGCGGTAGGAAACTGCTTAATCAGCAATATTTGTTCACTCTTGGAAGCTTAAAAGCAGTTCTTTTTTCAAGAAAAGCAGTGCATAGGTCCTGGAGAAGTATAATGGTAGATAAGGAGATTTCCGTAGTTATGTTTTACAGAAACAATTCACACTAACTTTCATCCACACAAGGATTACCTTTTGTTTCCCAACCTGTTTCCCTTACATTTTGCAGGTTTGAAGTAAAAATAAGTTTAAAAAACACTCATTTTAAAGCCTATTCTGTGTCACTCATAAAGGAATTACAATTTATTTAATTATTTATTCTTTTAAAATTAGAATGTTTAGTTCCCATGAAGTATTTAAATAGACCTATTTAAGCAAACCTTTGCCCAAGGAACTAGATAAATACTCAGGAATCTATTCGATCCTCCGTGCAGTCTGAAAAAATGTTCTTGACAGATCTCAGCCAGCGGATACAGCTGACATTTACAAGAGGTTGAACAGTTCTGTAGGAGGTCATGGGCTGATATATCCATTAACAGAGCTGGCAAGTGAGATGCCAGGTGCCTCTGCAGGCTGAGTGCGGGTAAGTGCTGTATTTTAGTTAGGTCTTGAGCTCCAGCCTGACAAATGCGTGACTATGGGCTGTGCCCCATATCTGTACCCCTGACCTGCAGGCCTGAGGTTCCTGTTGCTCCCAAACAGAGCTGAGACACCTGTGTCAGTCATGGCTCGCTCTCTGAAAAAAGATATTTCTCTAGTTTCTAATGACAGAAGCATCTTTGCCTACTTTCTTAATTGTAGTGCTTGTCCATTACCACAAGGCCTCTTCCTTAACACCCTGTTTTGCCTCCATCCATTGCATGTTTGGGTTTTCCTGGGGTTTGTCTACACTTGCATAGTTTGTAGCTGTAATTTCACTGCCGGTGTTGGCAACAGTTGAAGCTGTAGTTAGAGCTCAAGTGAACATCCATCAACTTGTTCACCCTGTCTGAAGCAAACTCAGGAAACAGAGATAAATATCGGAGTCCTCCCTATTCTACTTGAAAAACACTTCCGAAGTATTTTTATCTTCAGCTGCCATGTTCCATAGGTTATTCATTGTAAATGTCAATAATAGGCAGGAGAATTCCTAACTGTCTTTTAAAGTGCCTACCATACTAGACACTGTTGTAAATATTCAATGTCCATCAGGCTCTCAAAGTAGGGTTTATACAGTACCAAAAGTTACCCTACTTTCCTACTTTTTTCTGTAGGCCTAGGTATTCAAGGACAGGTTAATTTGCAAATAGCACTACATTGTTAGGAATCAGCAAGCAGCGCTCTACAGCTGTCGAAGAAGTTCTACCTATTTAAGCTTGTAGTGAATTTGGCCTGGAGTTCTTGTTCAGATTTTTGCTATCTGATATGTTGATTCCTTTCTGAAGCACCGTTTTCAATTCTGCACTGAGCTATTTAGACAGTATACCGATACCATGGTAACAAAGCAATTAAGAATATGCACGGACCAAATGATCACTGGGTGCTTTTCCTAAAGCTGATTCTACCTTGTTTCTGCTCTGAGATGGCAGCTGCAACCTGTTCACCATTTTTTTGCTGCCTGGGCCTGCTCTATCTCTGCCTCTACCTCCTCCCTTCCTGAACAGGGCTAGCGTTATCTGTACAGCTTCCGTCTTCAAGTGATGCAAAGTTCAGTGTATAATGGTGCACTTTATGTTCTGTCCCTTCGAGTTGGCAGTGCCCCTCTGTCTTTCCAGCAAAGTGCCAGAGCAGAACAGACCTACTGTACACATGTTGCCTCAGTGAAGAACTGGGGTGGTGGGTCCCAGCGCTACCTTGTCTGGGAGCCTGCACCACGGAGTGAGATCTTCCCAGAACAGGCGCAGCAAGTCTGCATCAGTGGAGGAGGAAGTAATTAGTGGGGGATTTCAACACTTGCTCACACCTCCCCTAACTCTACCGACCTCTTCTCCAAAAGACTGAATAATGTGTGATAGCTGATGGTATTTCAATTCTGCATTAATACTACTAGTTGAGAAAGATTCACATGATAATATGCAGGACTTCTGCAGGACTCCTGCAGAACTTCTGTAAAACTGACATAACCTGAAGAAAGCTCAGGAAAGTGGCTATAGTAACCACTTCAGACCTTTATCTGGCTTGTCTCCCTGTTTAGTGCTTGTTTATATCATGCTTTAGCATCACACACTGTAGCTAATGCCATAGAATCTGCAAGTCATAAGTTACGATTTCAAGAGTTACCCTTATGAAGAAGCCTGCAAGGATAATCTTAGTCTTGATTCTTGCTATTACAGCTTATTAAAAATTTGGTTCTTAAATATTTACACATGGAGAGAACGCTTTTTTCCTTTACTAGATTTCAGGTATATCCAAGATGGTTAACTGAGGTATCCTGGTAAAAATCTTTTGATAATGAAATACAAATTACAGAAGTGTCACTGCATATAGCTTAAATATATACAGTTCAGCCTTATAAAATATAGTCATTTTATTTCTGTTGATCAGGTTTTGGTTGGTAAATGGTAATGCCTCTTCACACTGGATAATTATGATTTACAATAATATTTTTACCATGTTTATGCATTGAGCATATAGAAATACATTTCTCTCGACTGGATTTTCATTTTGCTAAGAAAAGATTGTAATATAAAGTAAGTGCTCATGTAGTTGGAATAGAACAGTGTTTTCTGCTCTTGACATTTTTTCACTTCTGTTATGTTTTTTTCCAAGGGTGAAATTCACAGAGTGAGGTCAGATGGAGCCAACAGGACAGTTTTTGCTCCAGCAGCTGTTATTGGTGCTCCTATTGGTCTGGCACTGGACTGGATATCTGCTAACCTGTATTACAGTAACCCAGGGACACAGTCAATTGAGGTAATTATTTAAGAGGGACAATTGGAAAGTAAGAGCCTAAATTTTTCAGTGCTATGTATACAGGTTGAAATTAGTAATTTTTTTTTAGTGAAAAACTGAAATTAGATTTATTTTAAAATGCAAATAGCTTGTAGAAAAATACTTCACAAACTTGAAGAGATAAACCTAAATTTGAGCATAGTCAAAAAGATTGAAAGCAATATATTCTGGCAACTTCATTTGTGCATAGATCTTTTTTTTTTTTCCCTTCTTTTTTTTTCTCCGCCCTCCTCCCCCCCCATTAGGCTTCTGGTGTTTGATACACAACCACTCTGATCGCTAGAGTTACTATTATTATTACTATTCTCACTTCAAATCAATGATCCCAATGCAGTGCCTCTGATAGTAAAGGCATGTTGCCATCAAATGCAGTAAGATCTGCTCCCAAATGCTTTGATATCGTATTATGTAGCTTTCTGGAGACTAGCAGTCTGATGGTATATGAAGGATAAAATTGCCATTTAGTGTAAGGAAATAGAGGATAAGCAATATATAATAGAGTAATGACTGTGAATAAGCCCAGTCATTAATGTCCTTGTCCCAAAATATAAATACATATTATTAAATTAAACGGCAGCTAATTTAAACAAATAAAATCGAATACTTTCTAAATCAGCATTTCATCAACCCGTTCAGCCTGTAATACTTTCAAGATATTATGGAAGCTGAAAGATTAACTATTTTTATACCTAGGATGCCTACTTGTTAACACAGGCAGGTTCTAAGCTGCAAGCAGCTCATTCAAGGGGTGCATGTAGAGAAGGGAGATGGTTAGCATACAGAACAATGCGCTTTTTCTTCATAGTGTTTGAGAGAGTCTTCTGCAATTTCAACTCCCTGTGGATTTAGGCTTCCTTCCTTTAATTTGAAAATCTGTCATAAGTTCTATATTACATGCTCTGATAAGTTCTATGTTTATATAGGTCCTGAAGTTGCATGGTGACATAATGTACAGGAAAACACTGATTACCAATGATGGCACTTCTCTGGGAGCTGGCACGCCGATTGGTTTGACAGTTGATCCAGCAAGAGGGTAAATTTCCAAAATTGCTGTTGTCTTTGCACATGAGTATACTCTCCACATTTTTCTTAATTTTTAGGGTCTTCAGCTTCCATCCTGGATTTGACATGGTTTGGGTTTTTTTTGTATTTGTGCAGAGTTTATTTACTCTTTTTAAGCCCTAGGAAATAATTGCATGGCTTTATAAATTGTTTCATAGATGTTAATTCTCCTTAATTTACCATATACTTACATGGTAAAATTTTTCAATTAAAAAGGATCTCAGAATATTATGATTGTGCAAAAAATCTCTGAAAAAGATGGGAACCCAGAGTAAAGAGAACTCTAAAGTCTTTCTTTATAACACCTTGTGATGTCTGTCTTGAGGCCTATCTATAGTAGAAAGACACACTACATGGGAAGAATGTCACATGTTAAATAGCATAGCACTCAATACAATTTGACTGCTTTCTCCCCCAAAAGAGCTGTAATTTGCTTTTTTCCCAACAGGGTACTCAAAACTGCAATATGATGCTTTTTTTTTCTTTTTCCAAGATCAGTGTTCCATAGGACCATATCAGTAATGAGGCAGTTCTGCTGGTGACTTGGCAGGCTTTCAGATGAATTGACTTTTTGTCCCTAGTTGGGAGTCTGGCTGCCATGTGCCCTACATGTTCTTCAGCAGCTGAGGCCAAAGCGGTGCACATATTCCCCAGAGCCAGATAATGGAATTCTGTTGCATATAGATTTTTTGAACTTGTACTTTTAATTCCAAATTGGAACCAAACTCACTGCTGAAACCTTGCAGCCATCTGTGAAACAGAATAATTATTCTCTCGCTTTCTTGTTATAATCCTAATACTCTACAGAGTTTACCTGCTGATGGTATTGTGGGATGATACAAGGGAGGTTATGGATTTCTAAAAGTGATTTAACAGGCATTATTCTCTTTTTTCAGGAGAAACAGTATTTCTCTTTTTCAAGGCATTTCTCTTTTTCAAGAGAACAAGCATTTTTCTCTTTTTTCAAACAAGATCTCTTTTTCATTGTGGCCTGGTTCAAAGTGATCTCTGTTCAGCATGTGCTGGAGTATCTGGCTGACGAAGGAGATGGATTTAAGCATATGCTCAAGTGACTGTGGTCCACTGATCTTTATCAGCTTCGCTAACAGATGTGATAATGTGTGTTACAGGAAGCTGTACTGGACAGACCAGGGAACTGATAGTGGAGTCCCAGCAAAGATTGCCAGTGCAAGCATGGATGGATCAGGCATACAAACCCTCTTCACTGGCAACCTTGACCATGTAGAGTTCATTACCATTGACATTAAGGAACAAAAGTTGTACTGGGCTGTCACAAGCACAGGAGTGGTAGGAGATTTTTTTTTAACAATTTCTTTTTTCCCTGTTCATCTATCTCTGAGTCTGTGGTTCACATGAGTAATTCAGTTGCTTTAGTTTACTCATGTAACTGGGAGTTGCAGGACCGAGCAGAATCTGAATAACTGTTGTTACTAATTACCATTAAAAATATATGACGAATTTGAATGAAAAAACAGCAATCATTATTGGCATCCTGATGATCCTTTCCTTCCTACCTTGTACATAAAGATCTCATGCATGAAGAGATTTTAGTAGCATATGTTGCATTTTAATTTTTTATTGTAACATTGAACTTTCATTATAAGAAATGTAATATTAAGCTTTAAACTGATTTCTTAGATTGAGAAAGGCAATGTGGATGGTACAAGTCGTGTGACTCTGGTGGTTCACCTTTCTCATCCATGGGGAATTGCTGTGTATGATACCTTTCTGTACTATACTGATCGAGATTATGAAGTTATTGAACGAGTTGACAAGTCCACTGGAGCAAACAAAGTAGTACTGAGAGATAATGTCCCAAGACTGAAGTGCCTTCGTGTATATTACAGAGACAGTGAGTATTTGCTAAAGAGGTATTTCAGGATATCCAACTTGTGAAAATTCGACTTCCCTCAGAGACAGAAAGCGTGCCCTTTCAAAGGAAATGGTTTGATTAGGCTTTCAGGAAAAGTGTCAGAAGCATTTTACCTGGTTTTGGTAAAGAGATGTTCCACCATTCTGTTGAGACATCTACTGGCACATGTAGTTTTACTAAAATATTGTCAATGTAATATTGACTGAATAACAAATTTTGTTACTTTGGCTTCAGATTTATATATCCATTTTATCTGATTCTTGGCCCCATTGATGTTAGATGACAAGAAACCAGCAAATCCATTGCTAATGCTTATGTGCTAAAATGTACAGTGATTAAGATCCTTATTTTTGTCAGCTGGTTGTTAATACTATGCAAGTATATGAATTTGGTTATATATCTGCGGGAGTTTGTGATGATACAGTTCAGATTATTATGTGTTGCCATGTGTGTCTTTCACAGATTCTGCTGGTTCCTCAAATGGCTGCAGTAATAATATTGGAATTTGCCAGCAGCTTTGTCTGCCTGTACCTGGTGGATTGTTCTCCTGTGCTTGTGCTACTGGCTTTCAGCTAAATCCTGATAACAGAACCTGTTCTCCCTACAGTTCATTTGTAATTGTTTCTATGCTTTCTGCAATTAAAGGATTTAGTTTAGAGTCATCTGATCACTCTGAAGCCATGGTTCCACTGGCAGGAAGAGGTATGTGAATATTATAATAGGAAAAAAATCTTATAATGCCTAATATTTTGGCATTTCTTGCTGGCATAGCACATGTTTTAAATAAGGTAGTTTACATCAAAGATAATTAGTTATTACTTTTCAAAATATTTCAGGACGAAATGCGCTTCACGTGGATGTTCACATGCCTTCTGGTTTCATTTACTGGTGTGACTTCAGTAGCACAATTTCTTCTCAGAATGCAATACGTAAAATTAAACCTGATGGTTCTTATTTTAGAAATGTTGTTACAAATGGAATAGGACGAAATGGGATCCGTGGCATTGCAATTGACTGGGTAGCAGGTAAGCATAGCTGAATTTAGGAGAATGTTATTCCTTACAGATTGTAAAATTTTTAGGCTAACATAAATGGATCCTAATGGAACTATTTTGAATGGAAGTCCTACGATTTTAACTTGTGTGTCTGACTGATTTTAAAACAAGAGGAAGTGATGAATGGCTTTTATATTTATATATATGTGTAAAAATGAAAGTTTATCAGAGCAGATGTATAGAACCATTTTTTTCATGATGCTTTCATATTTGTCTTAAGTCTCTTCTTGCTTGTGCATTTATAAGTAGCTGTTATCCAGTGTACTGCTGTACTTTACTACCATAGTGAAAAACATGCACCAGAGAAGAGTGCACAGAAGTTGTCTGATGACATTGTTAATAAGAAAGAAGGACCCTTCATCTACGCTCAGATTGCTGTGTACAAATCCCATAAATTATAGTGAAAAGTAAAGGAAGTGGAAGAAATACTTTGTCTTTGAACTTTCCCCACTTGCACTTCCTGTTTCTATTTAAAGATATTAGAGATTAATTCAAATATTAACTCTTCAGCAAGCATTCATCAACTCTAAGTAGCTGACCATTGCCATTAATACCTTTATTTTATACAAATACATAACATATATATGTTTTGCAAAAGTTCTTCTGTTGATTGATAGGCTTGTTGGGATGAGTTTTAGAATAAGCATCTGCTGCATACACTTAATTTAGTTCCTGTATACAGTGCTGTGCCATAACATGAATTTCATAGTTATGTGTTGTAAAAGGTAAAGGGATAAGAGTATGGAAGGGCAAGTCAAAGGCTTAGATTAAAAAAACAAAAAGTACACTTAAAGAACAACTGTAGTTAATGCACTTTAGATCTTATGCCACTGATTTTTCCCCATGGCAATCAATGAGGATTTAGAAATTAATTGACTATTGTCAGTTTAGGTGTCTTCTAATTCCTCAAAGTGTAGGCAAGTACCTTATGCTTCCAAGTACTAAGATGTTTATGGATATTCATTTTATGGTTTAGTATTTTATCAGCTCACGTTTCTCAGGTGTTGATGCTATATATTAACTTTCTGTTTTGTTTTTCTGCTTTGTTGTTTTTTTTTTTCTTCTTTAAATACAGGAAATCTTTATTTTACAAATGCATTCCTGACAGAGACTTTTGTAGAAGTTCTGCGTTTAAACACAACTTATCGCCGTGTTCTGCTTAAAACTACCATAGATATGCCAAGGCACATAGTAGTCGACCCAAAAAACAGATATCTGTTCTGGGCAGATTATGGGCAAAATCCGAAGATCGAACGTGCATTTCTTGACTGCACCAACAGAACAGTTCTTGTGTCTGAGGGCATTGTCACACCTCGTGGGTTGGCCATAGATCACAGCAATGGCTACATTTACTGGGTGGATGATTCCTTAGATATGATTGCAAGAATTCAGCCTGATGGTGGTGATGTTGAAATTGTGCGTTATGGCAGTCGCTATCCAACTCCATATGGTATCACTGTCTTTGGAAATTCTATGATCTGGGTGGATCGGAACCTGAAAAAAATCTTCCAAGCCAGCAAGGAGCCAGGCAATACTGATCAGCCAACAGTAATACGAGACAACATTAATTGGCTAAGGGATGTTACCATCTACAACAGTCATTTCCAGTCACGTTCACCCCTTGATGTCAACAACAATCCTTGTTTGGACAACAATGGAGGCTGTTCTCATCTGTGTTTTGCCTTGCCTGACATGCAGACACCCAAATGTGGTTGTGCCTTTGGAACACTAGGCAATGATGGCAAGAGGTGTTCCATTTCAACTGATGATTACCTGATTTTTGCTCTTGAGAATGCCCTCAGAAGTATCCACCTAGATCCTGAAAATCACAGTCCTCCCTTCCGCACAGTGAATGTGTTAAGAACTGCAGTGGCCCTGGATTTTGACAGCATAAACAACCGAATATATTTTACACAAAGTTATCCTTCAGGGACAGGAAGAATCAGTTATGTTAGTATACACTCAGGAATTGGCTCTCCAACAGTAGTTGCATCTGGTAAGTGCACTGAAATGTGATACAAAGTAATTGAATATTGAAAAAAACGGACTGCAGCATCTAGCACTAGCTCAGCAGGTATTTTTATGCTTAATGGTCAAGGTAGACTATTTAGTTAAGATAGCTGATGAAATGTTCCTTTTGACTCTTCTCTTCAGTTTTTTCCTATTCTGAGATTTTTATTTCATCTTGATCACAATGAAATGGAACTATAAAACTGGTTAAATATTATTATATATATAAAATTATGTGTCATAAATTAAAATTATATATAGTAAATTAATATTATGCAGTGAGGGATGATTCCTGCTACTTGGAGAATAGTAACGAGAACTCAGGTCTATGTGACGAAAAAGTCTTTGTAACCCTACTGCATACACAGGACTGCCTGAGTCCTAAGTATTGGTTCTTCAGATTTTTAAATGGACAAATTTGCATTGATACCAATGGCGTTTCAAAGAGATCTTTGGTGTTGCGACATTATAATAGGTGAAGAGTATTGCAATATCGCAGGAAGCTGTACTGAACTTGTGCATGTTTGCTTGCATGTGTCTAAGACCTGGGCACTCCAGATGGCATAGCCTTTGACTGGATCAACAACAGAGTTTACTACAGTGACTACCTCAATCAGACTATCAGCTCAATGGCTGTGGATGGATCTAACCGCACAGTGATTGCCCGGGTTCCACGACCAAGAGCCATTGTATTAGATCCCTGCAGGGGGTATGTGTTGCACTTTGTGTATTTTATTTTTACTGCAGGTGAAACTACAATTTAGACTTTGACAAAGACTGCCAGATACTTCCTGTTCTGAGCTCTAAGTTCCAGCTGTGCATAACCATCCTAGGTCTAACTCTTTAGGTTTAAGTTTTCCAAGCTGATCTCAGCCTCAGAGATTAGAATTTTCTTCAGAGATTTTTAGAACATTTATGAATGTGTAGTGCATGAGGCTCCACTTAGTGAGGGTGGCAGCCAGGTACTGGGAGTAAATGAGAACAATGTTCAAAGCAGGTGTTTGTCAAGCAACTAACCATCCTCCATTTGCTGTGTAAGGCAGAAAACCAAAGGGTATTTGTTGAAACCAAGATTTCCCCAAGAATATGATATCATGATAATCAGGTAGCGCTGCCAAGAGCTCTCTCTATTTAGAGTCTTATATGATCTTTCCCTTTTTCTGTTGTATTTCCTGAGTGTGTCAGAAGAATTCTTGTTTCAGTATCAAAAGCCCCCCTGAGAGACTGGGGGCATTACTGTATTATACTGTATTTCTAATTTCATTACTGATTATACTGTATTTCAAATGAAGAAAGATAAGAAAGGCATTAATTGACTTTACTGGATTCTCATAGGAGCTGGAAAAACTTTTCTGAAGTTCACTCCAGTGGACCCCAGTGTGATCCCTTCTAGAAGATTCCCTTGTTAATGTGGGCCAAAATAGAGGAAGCAGTTCTTTTCCACTAGTTTTGCACTGCACGCTTCAGTGAGGGACACCAGGATGGAAATACCCAGGAGCAGATAAGAGCTTTGTGAGCTTTATTTGCTGAAAATATAACCTTGTAATCATGTTATTGACAGGTATATGTACTGGACTGACTGGAGTTCAAATGCAAAGATAGAACGAGCTACACTTGGAGGAAACTTCAGAACACCTATTGTGAGCACCAATTTGGTATGGCCAAATGGGCTTACCCTGGACTATGAAGAACAGCAGCTATACTGGGCTGATGCAAATCTGTATGTATTGATAACACACTTGGTTTACATTTGGTTAATTTTTTAATAGATCTATTATTTATTTTTCCTCATTCTTTAAACTGTTTTTCAGCATTTCAATTGAATTTGGTACTTTGTATTATAGATTGTTAAGCGTTACTTAATAGCAGTGCAATGTCAAGTCTTGATATTGATGTGGAACTACCGTGCAATAAGAAGTTTTGTTATGCTACAGTGTAGATTTAGTCCACTGCTTTATGGCGTTTGTACCCACTGGCAGTTTGTTCATTTTACGTGCAACTCAGGACTTCTATAAGCGTCTTCTCTAACAAATACAATCCCAGTGCACGTTTTATATCATTCATTGCTCATGGTTAATGCCTGTCACCTGTAAAATTTGGCATGATGTTCTTGCTGTTGCCTACCACACAGAACTCTACCCTTCAATTTATGCCACCAGAATTT